ACCACCTCTTCTGCCCAAGGTCCTTCCAGTTCTGGGGGATGGGGAGGGCTGGGCAGAGCGAGCCTGTGACCACATACCAAAATTCATTAAGTAGCTCCCTGAAAAAATTATTGCCCACTCCCATCTAAAAGGGTATACTTGGTGTGGGGTTTTTTTAGATAACTTGATTTTTATCAATTTAGGGAATACGACATAGAACCATAGAGCTGGAAGAGACCTTAGAAGGCCATCCAGTCCAGCCCCCTGCCCAAGGCAGGGCCAATCCCAATTAAATCAACCCAGCCAGGGCTTTGTCAAGCCAAGACTTAAACACCTCTAGGGATAGAGACTCCACTACTTCCCTAGGGAACCCATTCCAGTGCTTCTCCATCCTCCTAGTGAAATAGTGTTTCCTAATATCCAACCTGGACCTCTCCCACTGCAACTTGAGACCATTGTTCCTTGTTCTGCCATTCATCACCACTGTGAACAGCCTTTCTCCAGCCTCTTTGGAACCTCCCTTCAGGAAGTTGAAGGCTGCTATCAAATCCTCCCTCACTCTTCTCTTCTGCAGACTAAAGAAACCCAAATCCCTCAGCCTCTTCTCGTAGGTCATGTGCTCCAGCCCCCTAATCATTTTCATCGCCCTCCGCTGGACCCTCTCCAATGCATCCACATCCTTCCTGTAATTGGGGCCCCAGAACTGGATTGTGATACTCCAGATGTGGCTTCACCAGAGCCGAGAATACTCATTACCTGTCTCTCGCACTCGCACTAGCACTTACATTTTATTAAACTAAATATAAACTGTTACATGTTTCACATGTGCAATTACAGCAATTACAGCAGTCTCCTGAGTCGCCAGCTGATGGTAGTCCTTACACTTTTTTTCTTTAATTTAAAATTTTATTAACTAACAGACAAGTCCTTGGAACACTAAGGCTACGTCTACGCTGCCAGTTTTTTTGGGTAATGAGGCATAAGGATCTTGTGCAAAATGGGTTTTGCAGCTGCTTTTTGCGCAAAAGCACCTTGAGAAAAAAGAAATGGCAGAAAATATGCTAATGAGATTGCTGCTTATGCTAATGAGTCCCTAATTAGCATATTTTCTGCCAAAACTGGCAGTGTAGACAAAGCCTAAATGTACAGTGTCCTTAAAATCTTCTACAATTAGTTTTCAACTTTCCCATTCCCACTGTCATTTTGATTCATAGATTGAAACAGAAATATGAGTGTTCCTGCTTTTTCAACTTCCAGTCTGTTTCTTAGGTTTGTGTGGTGTAATACTAAATAATGACAATATTCTCTCCGAGCCTGGAGAGGAAACTACTGCTATGAAAAGTTGGCTTAGCAACTAAAGGAACTCCTTTTCAAGGTGCCGGGCTAGTCATTCCCACTAATTCAGGGGAGTGACTTTTTTCAAAACATCATCAGCAAACATTTACTGTTTATATTGTTTCGCTCCAGCCCTGAAATTTATTAAGACTGGCATAACTAAGGAGTGATTCTGAGATGTCCATACCATGGCAGCATCAGCATCTTCAGAAGTTAGACATCTACCTGGGATTAAGAATGTTCACAAGAAAATGAGGTGGAATCAGTGTTTGATCCATTCGCTTCTTTATTGCCTGTGTGCCTGTAATTTTACTATCTGGTGAGGTATTTTTTTCATCGGTATAAGGTTGGTTTTTTTTCCAATTTTATGAGAATAGGCCAATTTTTAACACATTGTTCAAAATAATCAACAAAATTCCATCAATTTAAGTGAGAATTCGTTTGGATACTCCTGGTCTCTGCAGTGAAGCTGAAGCAAAATGGTTGTTACGGCAGTATTGTGTGACTTCATTTTATTTTAGTCCTGGAGAAGACATACTTAAGTCTTTGGCTAAAAGATGCACTGAATGAGCACTGCAGCCATATGATATTAAAGGGCATATTTCACTTTCTTCTTCTAAGTATCTTCTCATGTTTGCAGCATTGTCTGTGACGAAACTGCACATGTGACTGCTGAACTTTTGTTCAGTTCAATATAGCTTTCGTTGCCATTTCTTTTAAATAGTCTGTTAGGTGAGCATTTCCCAATGTTTCTGAAAGCTGTTGTTTCTGAAAAATATGCAACCCCTTCCGTTGTCACACTGGCACATATTACTGGACTATTGTCTATATTGCTCCACTCAATAAACTGGTAAATTTCTCACTGAGATTTCTTGCACACTGTTCAAGTTCCTTTTCATACACTATATCTGGCTGTTGCCTGCACAAAATTCTTTGTCAATTCCACAGTCTAGGGACACGCATCTTTACCCAGTTCCTAGTGCTCAAGATTTTGTTAATTTAAATATCCCCCTTACCCAATTCCTAGGACTCAAAAGCATAAATTCCTGTGGGTTTGCAAGATCTTTTACCACTGAAAGAGCCTTACATAGTAACATTCTTACTTTGTATTTATTAGTAATTACCAAGCAAAACAAAATACACATGCATCATCAAGGCAGGCAAACTCCCCCTGTTGACCAGGCAAGATCAGTCTCATCTGGATTCTGGTTGCTGTCTGTCATGCGGGAGTCCTGGCAACTCTGATCTTAGGCTGTGTCTTGGAAGTGAGTTCTTTTTCCAGGTCTTTCTTTTTCTGTTCCTTTCTCCCTTTCCCACTTCTCCCTCTTGGCCCCCAGTTCATATATTGAAACTTGAGTACTGCTTAGCTATACCTTAACCAATTATGTTACTAACCTTTCAGAACCTACTGTATCCGAATTACCTAACCAATCATTACCCCACCACCTTAATTGATTATACTGCACACAGAAATAATTAAAAACCAGACAGAGCTCATACAGGCAAATAATAGGAAAGTGAAGACCATAATAATAGCATGAGGATTCCACCTCCCCAACTGTCAATAATGAGTTTCTTGCCAGACTAAATGTTGTTAAACTAAGGTTTTTTTGCCTATTTTGAGATCTGTTTCTTTACCTGGTGATAGAATTCCATCGTAATGGCATCCACTTTCTTAACAGCCTGGTATTACACTATTTTAATGCAATTTAGATGGAAAGTGAGTTACTCCCTATTTTACAGCTAATGGCCGCTTCAGTCTGGCAGCAGATAAAGGCCCAATGCATTTAGGCCTTCCAATATGGCTACAGAAAAAGGCCATATTGTTACACTTGTGTATATTGCTCCACCCATCAAACTGGCAAATTTTGCCTCAGTATTTCTTGCACACTGTTTAAGTTCATTCTCACACTATATAGGTCAACTTCCCACCAACATCTGCTCTACCAGATGGAGAGTAGCATGGTCGTAAGGACTCAACCATATCCAGGGCTTGACGAACGGTGGCGAAAGCCGCTCACCAGCCCAGCACTGCGCATGCCGCAAATGAACAGGGCTCCTGGCTGAAATCTACTCGCCTTGGGTGATTAGATTCAGTACTTTGTTGAGCCCTGACCATGTCAATGAAGGTGTTAATTAACAATGCAAAAATGAGAAATTGTGGCATAAATGAACCAAGCAATCTTTATCTATAGTAGGGGTGGGCAGTAATTTTTGCAGGGTGGCCACTTCATGAATTTTGGTATGTAGTCATGGGCCAGCTCTGGCCCCCTCTGGAAAGGGTGGAGCCTTGGGCAGAAGAGGTGGGGCTGAGGGCTACATAAAAAGAGAGAGAGCGAGAGAGACACTATGTGAAAAACTGACACACATTGTGTGGTACAGACTGGGTGTGTGTGACAGTGACACAGATAACGTGTGCTGAGTGCTCTCCCAGACACAGATAGTTTCTGGGAGAAGCCATGCTCTCCTCTAAGGGCTTGTCTACACTGGCATGTTTTGTCACCAAAAACTGCCTTTTGTTGATAAAACAGCTAGAGCATACACGCAACAATGCAACTTTTATCTGCAAAAACACCCAGTTTTGGTTCCAAAAAAATCTTCCACCCTTATGAGTGACTTTTCGTCTTTTCCCCTCCCTTTATTACCAACAAAAAGCCAGTGTGGACTCTGCTGTTTGTTTTGTTGAGAGAACTGACTTCCGCCAGTATTCTGTCCTGATGGCTGTGCTCAGTGTTTTGCTTGCATACCCTCTCCTTTCAAAGGTCTGGGAAGTATCTGACAGCTGAGTGAGCTGCTCTGTTTGGGGGACAAACAAAGTAGAGCAAATCATTGGAACGTTCCTGTTCTTCCCTGCTAGAAACACAGTAGCAGGCAGACTGCTGCTGTGGGGGGAAGACTAAAGAGACTGCTGTGCTGTTTTAACACTCCTTGGCATCAGCTCTGCTTTCCCACTAAGGATATTAAATATCTGTTTAATTGAATAGTCGACTAACCTCATGAATTCTTATCAGGAACCTCCTGTCAGGAAGTTGAAGGCTGCTCTCAAATCCCCCCTCACTCTTCTCTTCTGCAGGCTAAACTAACCGAAATCCCTCAGTCTCTCCTCGTAGGTCATGTGCTCCAGCCCCCTAATCGTTTTGGTCCCCTCCGCTGGACCCTCTCCAATGTGTTCACATCCTTTCTATAGTGGGGGGGCCCAGAACTGGACACAGTACTCCAGATGTGGCGTCACTAGAGCCGAATAAAGGAGAATAATCACTTCTCTAGATCTGCTGGCAATGCTCCTTCTAATGCAACCTAATATAACATTAGACTGCTTGGCTACAAGGGCACACTGTTAACTCATATCCAGCTTCTCATCCACTGTAACCTCCAGGTCCTTTTCTGCAGAACTGCTGCTTAGCCATTTGGTCCCCAGCCTGTAACAATGCTTGGGATTCTTCTGTCTCAAGTGCAGGATTCTAGACTTGTGCTTGTTGAACCTCATCAGATTTCTTTTGGCCCAATCCTCTAATCTGTCTAGGTCACTCTGGACCCTATCCCTGCCCTCCAGTGTATCTACCTCTCCCCCTAGCTTAGTGTCATTTGCAAACTTGTTGAGGGTGCAATCCATCCCCTCATCCAGGTCATTCATAAAGATGTTGAACAAAACCAGTCCTAGAACCAATCCTTGGGGCACTCCGCTAGAAACCGACCGCCAATCTGACATCAAGCCGTTGATGACTACCTGTTGGGCCCGACATTCTAGCCAGCTTTCTATGCATCTTACAGTCCATTTATCCAATCCATGATCTTGCTGGAAAGACTGCTGCAAAAGCACCAACAGATGACTCTGAAGTTGTAGATATACTGTCTAAGTCTTTATGCTTAAATGGGACCGTGATGAAAAAATGATTTTGAATAGTCATTCTCTCTCTCTCTCTCTCATTCAGTTACTCATTTACATTTTTCTACAAGGATGCAGATCTGATTCCAAGTTACCAAAATTTAAGACTTCACTTAGATTGCGCTTAATTTTGGAGTAAACCCCATTGAACTCACTGGCACTTCTGTTTTTTGAGAAAACGAGTATAGAATAGGATTCTCTTGGAAAAACTTAGTTATGCTGAAGTAAAATAGGGAATAGACTTAGGGCATCACCATTATGGTCTGTGGCCATGATACTGCAAAATAAGGGGCATGTTTTATTTAATGTAAGGAAATGATAGTGGCAACTGGCAATTTTAGATTTCTCTTACTGCAGCTTTCTATATTATGCACTTGAGTGATCAATTCTAAACCTAATTACTGTAACTAATTAAACAAGCCATAAGGATCAGCTAAGTAAAACTTTTTTTCTAGCAACATCCAACACAACAAATAGCTTGTCTAAACACACTTCTACTAAAAGGCAGGGCTCAACAAATAATGCAGTCTACTCACCTGTGGCGAGTAGATTGCAACCTGGAAGAGCCAGGTTCGGGTGATCTGCGCATGTGCAGATCACCGGACAGCGCAGCTGGCGAGCGGGGCTTACCGCGGTCCGGCTAGCCCTGCTAAAAGGTACAAAGAGAGTCTTGAAGAATGATGCATTTCACAGGGAATTATTGAAGTTACTAACCAGTTGATCCACTCAGCCATATCCACATTTTCATCCAAATCATTTTCTCTCAATAAGCAGTTTTTCGTTATGATGTTTCATTCTTGCAACAAGGCTCTACAACATCTTCTTGCCCTGCTTACACTTGACATGGTTTCCTTTTTCCTCCAGGGAACAAATTTCTTCAAAATATTCCCAGACAAGGTCTCTCTTATGCCGAGAAGCCATGACAGTTTTTCAAAGCCAAAAGTATGGGGGCATATAGGTGTACACACTAATGTCTTCCCTTTTTCTTTCAAGTCCTCTCCACTGTTCCTTTCTATGTTTTCTCCATCCTTTTCTATATGTTGTCTCTGTCTCCAAGTCAATATCTTGACCCAGCACAGCAGAGGAGATAGTCTACCACTACATAAGCATGGAACAAAAAAATCCTATCCAGCCTGTGTCTGTCTTTGCACATGTTACTTTTAATTTACTGAGAAACAGAAATTGGAAGCCCAGAACTTTCAAGAAACAAGAGCTGGTGGTTAGGCCGGAGAGACTAGAGCCATTAATTCATTATTATGAGAGTGTAAATGTAGATGTAGCATGTTTGTGATGAGATTTAATTGTAACTTACTTTTAAATGAGAAATTTAGTATTTACTGATGATTTTTAAAGAATCACAACTGATTGTATTTTTTAATTGATTTTTTTTTGTTGTTGTCCACCATGTTAAGATTCTAACATGTACAATTCTAGGAGATTAGAATTCCGAGTAGCTTCATCCACCTCCTTTCTTTACTCAGATCTGTTTATCTGGTTTCAGCTGTGTATATCAATGGTTAAGATGCTTACCAGTTAACTGGCAGCTGAGCTGAAGCAGCTTCCTGCATGCCCATGATGGGCCAGAGCAGCCCCCGCTTGCAATGCAGTGTGGCAGGCTGGCCTGGTCCAAGCAGCCCACCGCACTGCAGGCAGGGGTTGCTCCAGCCAGGCTGCAGCAGACCCCCACCCACCTTGTTTAAGCAGTAAACCAATTAAACATAACACTTAACCAGTTAACTGATTAAACAGGATTTTACATCCCTAGTTTCAGCCTGAATTGAGACTCCTGAAGAGAACCAGCGGTTATTGACATTTCTGAATAGGAACTTTTGAGCCTTGTGCCTCCAGGTGGGCAGTTTTCTCCCTAATCGAATGGTCCTTTACATGATGGAAGCCTGAAATCCGGGAGATGACCCCTCTGAGTGCCATGCTTGGCCGCTTTGACTGCTTGCTTGAAATGTGTGATGTGTAAAACACTTGAACATTTGTCTCCTATCTCCTTTAGATATCAACAAGTTTCTGTGGATGGTACGAATTGGTGGAAGCACAGACACTGGGAAGCACATAAAGGAGCATGATTACTACACGCCAACAGGAGAGTTCCGTGTGGATAGGGAGGGTTCCCCTGTGTTGCTCAACTGCCTTATGTACAAGATGTGCTACTACCGCTTTGGGCAGGTTTATACAGAAGCCAGTATGTAGTAATGCTATTTATGTGGATATTGTAGAAGGGCATAAGGAATACTGTCTAGGGGTTAGAGTGGGGAATGTGGGTGCCCAGATAGTTGGGAAGAAAACTTCAGTTGTGATACTGACTTGCTGTGTGAACTTGAGCAAGTCCCTTTCTTTTTTTGTCTCCACTCTGTATAGTGGATAGGTCGTTGACCTGTCTCAGGGGCATAAGCAAGGACTTCTCTTGGTAGTGCTGTTATTCCAGCAGCACACACCAGTTCAAAGTTCTGTTTTGGAATATAAAATGCATTGCCAGGCTCTGGTCTTCTTTGAACATATTGGCAGCTCTGACCCTGCTGCACTGATGTTGGCATATGAAAACATCTTGATACCTGACTCTAAAAAGTTAGGAATGCAACTGGACCCTGTCCAAAAGGAATGCAAAACCTAATACCGCCCACTTCCCCTGTTTCCCTGTTCTGACTTGCTCTGAGGCAGCTGATACTTCATAGAGATGAAAATCTAACTTATATGGGGGGCACAGACTGTTAGAACTCTCACTATGCTGAATATTCAGAATGGAGTCTTCTGAGAAAAAGAAAGGAGCCTGGCCACCTCATGCCTTGAGTGCATTCTGTGCCAACCGGATTTTGAGAAGCCTTTGGAAATGATTTTCATTTGGGTTGGAAAGACCTGTATTATTTCTTCCAGAAATGTGGACTCTGAAGCCATTGGTCATTTTCTCCCCTCCCCATTCTTTCTAGAACGCCCCCCAGGTTATGACAGAGTGAGAAATGCCGAGATTGGAAACAAAGACTTTGAGCTCGATGTGCTGGAGGAGGCATATACCACAGAGCACTGGCTAGTCCGAATATACAAAGTAAGCAGGCAGCAGGTGCTGTTGTCCCTCTACAAGGGAGGGAGAGATTGGGAACAGTTTGGGTATCAGGTTTGCTTGTGTGGGGAGTTGAGATATGGCCTTTTTGGAAGTGAAACTGGGACTTTTTTTTCTTTTAAACAAAGGATGGAGTCCAGCTTTCTAAGCAAGTTTCGGCTACTGTTGTGGGCTCCAAGCTCTAGAAACAGCCAAGAATGCCATAATAACTGGACTGCTAAATTTAGAAATGTCAAACTTTTAATCAGGGCTGATGCTGCCTTTCCTTTAGGGCTCTTTGTTTCCATAATGGGCACTTTCTATGTAGTTATACAGATTCTTGAACATTCCTTGTATACCCAAAGGAGCCTCAGAGAGTATATTTTATATAATGCAGCAGGGGAATTAGGAAGGGTAGGCCACCAAATGTCTATGAAGGTGAAGCTGAATAGATTAGATCACAAGTCTTATTTCCCCTATACTAAAGTAAACAAATAATGCAGACAGTGGCACAGCTCTCCAGTTCCCATGCCGTTTGATTGGTGATTGTATGTGATCACATCATACCTTCCCTGAAACAGCCAATACAGTTTTTTTCCCTTTTCATTAAAATACTTAAAGGCACCAGTGGTTCAGTGAGCAGGGCCCAAGAGTAGTTGTAAATAGAAATATTTACATATTTGTTCTGTGACCTTGAACAAGTCTGTTCAGAGGTGCATCCATTTCTCCATCTGTAAAATGGGGTCGATCCTTATAGTAAGTCCATCAATGACTATTAGCTGAGATGGTCAGGGATGCAACCCCATGCTGCAGGTGTCCCTAAACATCCAGCTACCACAAACTGGGGCTAGATAATGGAGAATGGGATCACTCAAATGCCCTATTTTGTTTATTCCCTTTGAAGCACCAGTCACTGTCAGAAGATGGGATCCTGGGCTAGATGGACCGTTGGTCTGATCTACTATGGTCTTTCTTAAGAATCTTAGACAGCATTTGCTAAGTCCACACATGACTCCCATCAGCATGTTACTGAAGCCTAGAGAAATACAAAGTAGTATGTATGCAGTGGATTATATTTCCATCCAGCAGTCTAAAGAATTTGGGCTGAATTTACATTTAATTTAATCTTAAATTTCACCTTTTAAAGCCATGCTGACCAGCCAGTTCTGAAGCAGTAGCTACTTCTGTAGAGAACTAGCCACACTCAACCAGCCAAATAGCCAGCATGGCTAGCATGTTGGACACAACGGTTTTAAAGTTTATCATGCTGCTACTTCAGCTAGGAATTGGAAGCATGTCTGTGGAATGTTACAGACAAGGGAAGCAGCTGTCTCTTCTATCTAGCCCTCACTTAATAGGGTAGCTTGTAAAAAGGCAGGAAAACAGTAAGTGAAATGATATGCCCATCAGGTGTTTAGAAGTACATGAGCTACAGGCTGAAAAGCATTTATGAACAGAAGAAATGTGTGACTTTCAGTGTTGAGGTGCCAACACCTGGGTGTCTGGCTGATGAGTCTTGCCCACATGCTCAGGGTTTAGCTGATCGCCATATTTGGGGTCGGGAAGGAATTTTCCTCCAGAGTAGATTGGCAGAGGCCCTGGAGGTTTTTCGCCTTCCTCTGTAGCATGGGGTACAGATCACAGCTAGAGGATCTCTGCATCTTGGGGTCTTCAAAGTATTTGAAGGCTTCAATATCTGAGATATAGGTGAGAGGATTATTCTAGGAGGGGTGGGTGAGATTCTGTGGCCTGCACTGTGCAGGGGGTCAGACTAGATGATCATAATGGTCCCTTCTGACCCTGGAGTCTATGAGTCTGAGTCAATACAAAGTGTATAAATTAATACTAATTTATGATGATCCCAGTGCACTGCAAGAATGATTTCTGTTTTACAGGTAAAGGACTTGGATAACCGTGGATTATCAAGAACATAGATTTGCCTTCAGCTTTAATGCAAACTGCACTGACTGAACCCTTGCCTGTGAAGCAGATTTTTTTTTATATAATTTGTAAGTGCAGAAAGGAGTTGGATTTAACTGCCTGTGAAGGCCCATCCTCATGTATTCAGTCTGTCTTTGATGGAATGATTTTTACAAATCGGAACCGGTTATCAAATCAGAAATAATGGCTTTACGATGGGTTGATTAAATGGGAATGAAAAAAGTGTGCATTTCTGTTTTCCCTTCGAGTGATAATACCAGATGTAGTAATCCAGATGACTGTATGTCTCCTGCCTTTCCTGTTTATCAATTCTGAGTAGTCTGTAAAGCAGGAATCTTTGTCCATTTAGAATTTCAGATCAAATCTATGAAACCTCTCTTACCCATATAAGCAGCTGCAGTCCTTCCTTTGGTTTCCTATATAGGGGTATGTCTACACTACCATCCTAGTTCGAACTAGGGTGGTAATGTAGGCAACCGGAGTTGCAAATGAAGCCCGGGACTTGAATTTCCCGGGCTTCATTTGCATAAAGCCGGGCGCCGCCATTTTTAAATGTCCGCTAGTGCGGACTCCGTGTCGCGCGGCTACACGCGGCACGGACCAGGTAGTTCGGACTAGGCCTCCTAGTCCAAACTACCGTTACTCCTCGTGAAATGAGCAAGGGTGATGCTTACCAATTAACCAGTTACCAATTCACATCCCTAATAGTAACTGAACTCTTTCTTTTTAGGATAAGAGAAAGTTAAAAGATTACTTGATTATAGTTTAAAAGTATCTACATTTAAAAATGAGCTCTTCAGTTAAGTAGAGAGAGGTATAAATCCAGTGATTAAAAGCTGAACCTAGAGTTGGCTCCCAGGGGGCTCCCACTGTACCTTCTCCAGAGACTCTTGTCCCGGAAGCGGGCAAGTAAAGTTTTAGCCTGGCACAGGCTGCAGTGGCTGAGATGTGGAGCCACCTGTGGCCAGGCTACTGCAGACTTGCCATGGGAGGAGAACCTGGCATGTGGATGGGCTCTGCATAGGCATGTGTGGGAGCCTGGTCTGACTTCTAGCATCTTGCAATTGCCCCCTGGACCAGCCACCTGCCCCTCCCCCCTTCACTGGGACCCGCTGACTCAGAGCATAGCAGCTGAGATTGCAAATTACTGGTGACACTAACATGGGCCATGCAGCAGTTTACCTGCTCCCGCAGCCTTATTGTAGGGTGGGGGATGTGGCAGGATCACTGAGAGACCTGGGGTGGTTTCTTACTGGTGAGAGCATGGAGTCGTTTGTTCTGCTGCTCTCCGCAAGCCGGGTCTGGCTGGGAAGGCTGGGCCTTTCTTCATCTCCCAGCCCACTCCCCCTTGGACCTACCGAGTGGGAAGCCAGAGCTGGTGCTCCAGTCAGCATGGGCTCCTTGCTGTCTGGGGAAAGAGGGGAGCTGAGCTCCCCTGACCCCCACATCCCCATTCTCCTCCCTGCCCCCTTCCCCCACCAAGACCCTGTGCCCCCAGCTTGGTCCTATACTGTCCCTCCAGGCAAGGCACCCTCCCTTGCTCCTGCTTCTTCCCTCCTGGCCAGACTGTCCTCCCTTGTTCCTGCACCTCTCCCCTGGCCAGACACCTACCCCCATCCTGCTCTTGCATCCACTGTTGCTCTTGGTCCCTCCTCCCCCGCCCCCCCAGCCAGACACTCTACTACGAAGCCTGCTTCTGCACCCTACCTCCCACCCTCATCTCCTCCTGCACCCCACCTCCCACATTGTGCTCCTCATCCCTGTCCCACTCACTAGCAGCCCTGTCCTGCACATTGAACCCCCCATTTTTGTCCCCAACCCACAGCCTAAGGGGATCCATAAAATTCACTAACTCCAGAACCCTTGCATCCACTGTTGCTCTTGGTCCCTCCTCCCCCGCCCCCCCAGCCAGACACTCTACTACGAAGCCTGCTTCTGCACCCTACCTCCCACCCTCATCTCCTCCTGCACCCCACCTCCCACATTGTGCTCCTCATCCCTGTCCCACTCACTAGCAGCCCTGTCCTGCACATTGAACCCCCCATTTTTGTCCCCAACCCACAGCCTAAGGGGATCCATAAAATTCACTAACTCCAGAACCCCAGAAGAGTAAATCTGGCCTATGGGAAGACCTGAACCTCAGTCCTCCCTGCCCCTTCCCCATGCTCCACGGGACTGGAGCACCAGCTCTCTTCTCCCCCGACTCCACTGCCAAGCAGGGCTGGGTGGCTCTCCCTATGGCTGCTGGGGAAGGGAAGGGAAGGCCGCAGGCAGCTCCAGCTCTCCATGTGGGCCTTGGGGAGGGCCAGGTTGGGAGTGGGTGAGGT